CGCCTCTTGCCCACCCCCCCCTGCCAATGAGATCTCTTTCCACCCGCCCTCCGCGGCATCTGCCCCTCCTTTCCTCCATCCTTCTCCTGCTGGGCTCCTGCGTGCCCGTTGCTGGCCCTCAGCCCGCACCCCGTCCTGCGCCTGACCCCCCGGCCCAGGGACTGCACCCCGTCCTGCACCTGACCCCCTGGCCCGGAGCCCGCACCCCGTCCTGCGCCTGACCCCCCGGCCCAGGGACTGCACCCCGTCCTGCACCTGACCCCCTGGCCCGGAGCCCGCACCCCGTCCTGCGCCTGACCCCCCGGCCCAGGGACTGCACCCCGTCCTGCACCTGACCCCCTGGCCCGGAGCCCGCACCCCGTCCTGCGCCTGACCCCCTGGCCCGGAGCCCGCACCCCGTCCTGCGCCTGACCCCCTGGCCCGGAGCCCGCACCCCGTCCTGCGCCTGACCCCCTGGCCCGGAGCCCGCACCCCGTCCTGCGCCTGACCCCCTGGCCCGGAGCCCGCACCCCGTCCTGCGCCTGACCCCCTGGCCCGGAGCCCGCACCCCGTCCTGCGCCTGACCCCCTGGCCCGGAGCCCGCACCCCGTCCTGCGCCTGACCCCCTGGCCCGGAGCCCGCACCCCGTCCTGCGCCTGACCCCCTGGCCCGGAGCCCGCACCCCGTCCTGCGCCTGACCCCCTGGCCCGGAGCCCGCACCCCGTCCTGCGCCTGACCCCCTGGCCCGGAGCCCGCACCCCGTCCTGCGCCTGACCCCCTGGCCCGGAGCCCGCACCCCGTCCTGCGCCTGACCCCCTGGCCCGGAGCCCGCACCCCGTCCTGCGCCTGACCCCCTGGCCCGGAGCCCGCACCCCGTCCTGCGCCTGACCCCCTGGCCCGGAGCCCGCACCCCGTCCTGCGCCTGACCCCCTGGCCCGGAGCCCGCACCCCGTCCTGCGCCTGACCCCCTGGCCCGGAGCCCGCACCCCGTCCTGCGCCTGACCCCCTGGCCCGGAGCCCGCACCCCGTCCTGCGCCTGACCCCCTGGCCCGGAGCCCGCACCCCGTCCTGCGCCTGACCCCCTGGCCCGGAGCCCGCACCCCGTCCTGCGCCTGACCCCCTGGCCCGGAGCCCGCACCCCGTCCTGCGCCTGACCCCCTGGCCCGGAGCCCGCACCCCGTCCTGCGCCTGACCCCCTGGCCCGGAGCCCGCACCCCGTCCTGCGCCTGACCCCCTGGCCCGGAGCCCGCACCCCGTCCTGCGCCTGACCCCCTGGCCCGGAGCCCGCACCCCGTCCTGCGCCTGACCCCCTGGCCCGGAGCCCGCACCCCGTCCTGCGCCTGACCCCCTGGCCCGGAGCCCGCACCCCGTCCTGCGCCTGACCCCCTGGCCCGGAGCCCGCACCCCGTCCTGCGCCTGACCCCCTGGCCCGGAGCCCGCACCCCGTCCTGCGCCTGACCCCCTGGCCCGGAGCCCGCACCCCGTCCTGCGCCTGACCCCCTGGCCCGGAGCCCGCACCCCGTCCTGCGCCTGACCCCCTGGCCCGGAGCCCGCACCCCGTCCTGCGCCTGACCCCCTGGCCCGGAGCCCGCACCCCGTCCTGCGCCTGACCCCCTGGCCCGGAGCCCGCACCCCGTCCTGCGCCTGACCCCCTGGCCCGGAGCCCGCACCCCGTCCTGCGCCTGACCCCCTGGCCCGGAGCCCGCACCCCGTCCTGCGCCTGACCCCCTGGCCCGGAGCCCGCACCCCGTCCTGCGCCTGACCCCCTGGCCCGGAGCCCGCACCCCGTCCTGCGCCTGACCCCCTGGCCCGGAGCCCGCACCCCGTCCTGCGCCTGACCCCCTGGCCCGGAGCCCGCACCCCGTCCTGCGCCTGACCCCCTGGCCCGGAGCCCGCACCCCGTCCTGCGCCTGACCCCCTGGCCCGGAGCCCGCACCCCGTCCTGCGCCTGACCCCCTGGCCCGGAGCCCGCACCCCGTCCTGCGCCTGACCCCCTGGCCCGGAGCCCGCACCCCGTCCTGCGCCTGACCCCCTGGCCCGGAGCCCGCACCCCGTCCTGCGCCTGACCCCCTGGCCCGGAGCCCGCACCCCGTCCTGCGCCTGACCCCCTGGCCCGGAGCCCGCACCCCGTCCTGCGCCTGACCCCCTGGCCCGGAGCCCGCACCCCGTCCTGCGCCTGACCCCCTGGCCCGGAGCCCGCACCCCGTCCTGCGCCTGACCCCCTGGCCCGGAGCCCGCACCCCGTCCTGCGCCTGACCCCCTGGCCCGGAGCCCGCACCCCGTCCTGCGCCTGACCCCCTGGCCCGGAGCCCGCACCCCGTCCTGCGCCTGACCCCCTGGCCCGGAGCCCGCACCCCGTCCTGCGCCTGACCCCCTGGCCCGGAGCCCGCACCCCGTCCTGCGCCTGACCCCCTGGCCCGGAGCCCGCACCCCGTCCTGCGCCTGACCCCCTGGCCCGGAGCCCGCACCCCGTCCTGCGCCTGACCCCCTGGCCCGGAGCCCGCACCCCGTCCTGCGCCTGACCCCCTGGCCCGGAGCCCGCACCCCGTCCTGCGCCTGACCCCCTGGCCCGGAGCCCGCACCCCGTCCTGCGCCTGACCCCCTGGCCCGGAGCCCGCACCCCGTCCTGCGCCTGACCCCCTGGCCCGGAGCCCGCACCCCGTCCTGCGCCTGACCCCCTGGCCCGGAGCCCGCACCCCGTCCTGCGCCTGACCCCCTGGCCCGGAGCCCGCACCCCGTCCTGCGCCTGACCCCCTGGCCCGGAGCCCGCACCCCGTCCTGCGCCTGACCCCCTGGCCCGGAGCCCGCACCCCGTCCTGCGCCTGACCCCCTGGCCCGGAGCCCGCACCCCGTCCTGCGCCTGACCCCCTGGCCCGGAGCCCGCACCCCGTCCTGCGCCTGACCCCCTGGCCCGGAGCCCGCACCCCGTCCTGCGCCTGACCCCCTGGCCCGGAGCCCGCACCCCGTCCTGCGCCTGACCCCCTGGCCCGGAGCCCGCACCCCGTCCTGCGCCTGACCCCCTGGCCCGGAGCCCGCACCCCGTCCTGCGCCTGACCCCCTGGCCCGGAGCCCGCACCCCGTCCTGCGCCTGACCCCCTGGCCCGGAGCCCGCACCCCGTCCTGCGCCTGACCCCCTGGCCCGGAGCCCGCACCCCGTCCTGCGCCTGACCCCCTGGCCCGGAGCCCGCACCCCGTCCTGCGCCTGACCCCCTGGCCCGGAGCCCGCACCCCGTCCTGCGCCTGACCCCCTGGCCCGGAGCCCGCACCCCGTCCTGCGCCTGACCCCCTGGCCCGGAGCCCGCACCCCGTCCTGCGCCTGACCCCCTGGCCCGGAGCCCGCACCCCGTCCTGCGCCTGACCCCCTGGCCCGGAGCCCGCACCCCGTCCTGCGCCTGACCCCCTGGCCCGGAGCCCGCACCCCGTCCTGCGCCTGACCCCCTGGCCCGGAGCCCGCACCCCGTCCTGCGCCTGACCCCCTGGCCCGGAGCCCGCACCCCGTCCTGCGCCTGACCCCCTGGCCCGGAGCCCGCACCCCGTCCTGCGCCTGACCCCCTGGCCCGGAGCCCGCACCCCGTCCTGCGCCTGACCCCCTGGCCCGGAGCCCGCACCCCGTCCTGCGCCTGACCCCCTGGCCCGGAGCCCGCACCCCGTCCTGCGCCTGACCCCCTGGCCCGGAGCCCGCACCCCGTCCTGCGCCTGACCCCCTGGCCCGGAGCCCGCACCCCGTCCTGCGCCTGACCCCCTGGCCCGGAGCCCGCACCCCGTCCTGCGCCTGACCCCCTGGCCCGGAGCCCGCACCCCGTCCTGCGCCTGACCCCCTGGCCCGGAGCCCGCACCCCGTCCTGCGCCTGACCCCCTGGCCCGGAGCCCGCACCCCGTCCTGCGCCTGACCCCCTGGCCCGGAGCCCGCACCCCGTCCTGCGCCTGACCCCCTGGCCCGGAGCCCGCACCCCGTCCTGCGCCTGACCCCCTGGCCCGGAGCCCGCACCCCGTCCTGCGCCTGACCCCCTGGCCCGGAGCCCGCACCCCGTCCTGCGCCTGACCCCCTGGCCCGGAGCCCGCACCCCGTCCTGCGCCTGACCCCCTGGCCCGGAGCCCGCACCCCGTCCTGCGCCTGACCCCCTGGCCCGGAGCCCGCACCCCGTCCTGCGCCTGACCCCCTGGCCCGGAGCCCGCACCCCGTCCTGCGCCTGACCCCCTGGCCCGGAGCCCGCACCCCGTCCTGCGCCTGACCCCCTGGCCCGGAGCCCGCACCCCGTCCTGCGCCTGACCCCCTGGCCCGGAGCCCGCACCCCGTCCTGCGC